ATACTTTGGCCTCTGCAGGACTCCCCCACACACGGAGGTGAGTTAGCGAGGGTACTCTCCCTGTCCATAGCTCATACGGTGTTTTGGGCACCGATTTGCTTGGAACTCTGTTGAGAATATGAATGGCGGTTTTTAACGCCTCCATCCATAAACCGAGTGGTAGTGTGGAGTAGCTCATCATGCTGCGCACCATATCCATAAGGGTACGGTTGCGCCTTTCAGCTACCCCATTCTGTTGAGGTTCGCCCGGTGTTGAATACTGGGCTACTATTCCATTCTCTAGCAAGAACCTTGCAAAAGGTCCAGGGACTTGCCCATAAGGCGTATGTCGACCATAGTACTCCCCCCCACGGTCAGATCTTACTACTTTAATCTTTATATCATGCTGATTTTCAACTTCAGCTTTGAATATCTTAAATTTATCCAGTGCTTCTGATCGCTCTTTAATTGGATAAATATAACCATAGCGGGAGTAATCATCTGTGAATGTTATGAACGAGTCATAGCCATCCACACTTTTCACAGGAAATGGACCACAAATATCTGTATGAATGATCTCTAAAATTCCCGCGCTTCGTTTTGCACCCTTTTTGATGCTCTTTACAAATTTTCCTTTAATGCATTCTATGCATTGTTCTAAGTCTGAGAACTCCAATGGAGGAAGAATTTCATTCTTAACTAGTCTCTCAATTCTCCCCCTCGAAATATGGCCCAAACGACAGTGCCATAATTTCGATGAGACATCGGGAGTTCGCTTTCTTTTCTTGTTTTCTTTTGTCAACGAGGACACAACATTCACATTCTCAGAAAGAGATAACAAATAAAGCTCGTCTCGCAACACAGCAAGACCAATACATGCATTATTATGCCATAGTTCACATTTGCCACTTCCAAAGCGGCAATCATATCCATCAAAATCCAACTTTGATACACTTATTAAGTTCCTTTGCAAAGAAGGAACATAAAAGACATCTCGAAGTAAAAGTATGAAGCCATTCGCGAGCTCTAGAGGAAGATCTCCAACAGCTTCAACTTTTTCTTCAACTCCATTGGCAACTCTAATGGTGCTTTCTCTTCTTTGCGTAGTCCTCGTCGAACGGAATGCCTTTAAACAATTACAAGCATGAATAGTTGCTCCAGAATCAATCCACCATGTGGATCTAGAGTAACCAACATAATGAGATTCATTTACAAATGTAATAATGTTCTCACCTTTCTTTGCCATGATCATTTTCAAAAAGTCAGGACAATCTTTCTTGTAGTGTCCTGTCTTCTTGCAGTGGAGACATTGATCTTTCTCAACAGCGAACTGTTGTTGTTGAGGCAGATGCTGAGACTGTTTACCTTTTGAGGTGGGAGACTTGTGGTTCTTTTTCTTATCTTTAACATAGTTTATTGAACCACCATTTGATTCTTTGATTCTCTCCTCCTCTTGCACACAATTAGCAATGAGCTTCTCAAAGTTCCATTTCTCTGGACTTATGTTGTAGTTGACAATAAAATTGTCAAACTGCTTTGGCAATGAGGCCATAACCAGATGGACCAGAAAGTCATCTGTTATGCCCAAATCCATTGGCTTCAATTTGGAAGCCATGTTGCTCATTCTAAGTATGTGGTCTCTAACACCACCTCCATGGTACCTTTCTGTCACAAGCTGCTTGATCAGCTGTGTAGCATAAGTCTTTGAAGAGCCAGTAAACTGACTCTTTATTCTTTCAAGGTACTCTGAGACAGCGTCACACTCTGGGATCGAGCCCAATATGGTAGGCTCAATCGTATTCTTTACCACAGCCAAACATTTCTTGTTGGCTAAGGACCATTTCTTTTGTTCAATGTCATACGACATGACGAGAGGAGCATTGTCCCTCTGTCTCTTTTGCCAGTCAGCATCTGACTCATTTTCACCTCTGACAAGGTCAGCAGGTTCTATAGGACATGGGGTAGTCAATACCCAGTCCACCTCTCCCAAGATAAAAGCAAGGTCGAGTTTTCTTTTCCATTCTGCGTAGTTATCTCCTTTTAGGGTCGGAATATCTTTAATGCAACCCATCAAGGAGTAGCCACCTGAAATAATCATGTGCGGTGAGAACAAAATTAACATTAAAATATTATGCATTAAGCCTACATCACCGTTGGGCAGAATTAGACATAACACATATAACCATAACTATAATATTGCAATTAACAACGTTGGTCAGAAAATTACAACATCATAGCACATAATTAATGTTCCTAAAATTAAATTCTCCCGTTGGTTCGAAATTTAATTTTAGAAACACTAATTTTCATCAATTTCATCTATTTGCAGCGGAAGACTATATAAAATCATATGAACAGTAGCAAAATCTCTGTAATTCTCTCTCTGTGAAAATTCTCCCGTTGGTTCAAATTTAAACAGAGGTAAAACATGCAAAAATCTATTCAAAATTCTATTGAAATTTGCATGAAAAATTGACAAAATAAAATGGAAAAATTGCTACTGTTCTCTTTTATTCATTTTCGGCCCCGGAGGGACCTTATATGGACTTTTTCCGGCCTTTGCCGGTCGGCCCATGGCCACCTTGCGCGCGGGCGAGCGCCCCCTCCCCTCCCCCAGGCCGCAACCTGGGCCTGGGCCGGGAAAGCCGCCGCCGCGCGCTCCCCACTTGGGCCGATTTCGGTCCGGCCGCCGCCGGCCGTCCGATCTTAGGGTTTGCGATCGGACGGCCGGGCGCCGAAAACGGGGATCAAAACCCCTCGTGCCCCGGCCGGCCGCCGAAACCCTAGCTTCTCCTCTCTTTCTCTCTCTCGGGCGGGCGCGGTCGCGCCGAGCGGCGTCGCCGACGCCGGCGGCCCTCGCGCCGCTGCGCCATGGCCGGCGCTCCTTTCTTTTCTCTTCTCCGCTCCCCCCACCGTCTCTAACCCCCACCGTGTGAGAGAGAGATGGCGACGACGGAGATGGCGGCGCCGCCGCGGGCCCCCTCGCCGGCACGCGCGTGCAGGTGCGCGCGCGGCCGTCGAGTGGCTCCTAGGCGGCGCCTCTTTGCCCCTCCCCCCCTCCGTTGCCGGCGTCGACGACGGCCGGCGACGAGGTAAGAATTAGGGTTAGGGTTTTTGGTTCTTTTGATCCGTGCGGATCTTGTGCTTTTCTTTCTTTGGATTTCTTTCCCCGAAACGATCTAAACACTAGGGTTGCTCTGATACCATTGTTAGACTTTGCTCTAGGATCACCTAGGTTAGATCTAGTCGGGTGGTTCTATTTGGGTTTGATGAACGACATTGTAGATGAAAGGGAGAGGGTTTAGATACCGATCGGTTGAGGAGTTCGTGGAGGAAGAGGCGCCGGACATCGTCGTTGTCATCGCGGCTTGACGTGGATGCGGCGCCGGTGAGGTCGACGGTGATGACGGCTGCGGCAGTGGTGGTCGTAGACGTCCCGGCGATGAGGCGTGGCGCGGCGGTGGCGTTTCCCGTCACTGGCTGCGCCCCCTCTCGATCGGATTAGGGTTTTGTGGGGTGGAGTTGGCGGCGGCGGTGAATCTCGTACCATGTGCCGTGCCGGCCTCCACCCCTCTTTTATATGGCGCAGTGTGACGGGGGCCCACCAGCCATTGGGCTGGGCGCCCCCGATCAGGGCGCGGTCAAGGCCCCCTTGAGCCGTTGGGCTCAAGGGGAGAGAGATCTATCTAACAAATTTATCAAGGAATAAAAAATAATTTATAAGTAAAACATTTATATATGTGTTTTAGTGATTTAAAAGGCAACGCTGAAATAAACTACTCTGAAAGTACCTTAAAATCGACATCAAAATTAAATTTACAATTTAAATTTTGCTTTGGCTTCGACTTATTAGGGCATTCAATGGGGATCCTACATACTAGTGATGTCATTGCCCATGAAGCTACAACGATCAAAATAAACAAACTTAGGTGTGAAATATGACACTGTCCATTTATTTTGAGACAGTGAGTAGATCGTATGAAAATGAAGATGGAAAGGCATTGATGCTGTTGTCTCCGTAGATCTCTTTTGTTTTTTCCTTTCGTTGGCTTGTGCAAAAACAAAATCCTCTGAATATATGTAGTATTCTTTAGATCCCAAAACGAGGCCCCAGTCGTGTTAAAGATTGCGGTAATGCAAATGCGGTTGTTGTCTCTGTCAGCCGGCACTCACCACATCAGCCACAGCTAGCTTCCCAGCTCTTTCCATGTCAAAAAAAGAACATATTTTTTCAGCTCTTTCTGTCACGCCATACATGTGCCAGTATCATGCCAGTGAATGGGCACACAGCTGACGTCTTGCTGACTCCATGTCCGAGCCACTACACCCTCTGAATGGCCAGTTTTTTCAGGGCCTAATTAATTAATTCGATCCGTAGTACTACCGAAAATTCAATCTAAACTTTGAAATCATCAGCAAATATTCATAGGGCTTATGATTCTCAAATCAAAGGAACAGAAAACGTAAAGGATTAAGATGTCACCTACACTCCATCCTTCAGAAATTTTTCCAAGAGCTCTCATCTTATCCTAAGAATCTATGAAATAAATTTGCAAGACTACAATCCTCAGGAAATTGGTAGTGTCCATTTCTATAAAACGAACAATACATACAATGGAAAAAAAAAATCTAATGATTCAGTTCCTACAATAATTCTATAAAAGTACTTAAAATTTAATAATCTTACTTGGCTAGTAGCCTAGTACTACTCCTACTTGCCACAGCAAAAAAGTTTTCTTTTCAGCTCCCCTCGTCAGAAGAAAAAAGGCACGAGAAATGGGGTTCGCTTTCAGCTACAGGCAGGCCGCAGGCACCACTCCACTGCTACTTCCCCTTTTCTTTTTCAGGCCTCTCACAGTGTAAGCTACGGGGCTCGTACCCCTAGCCTAAAAAATTTACCCCAAGACACTCACCCCACAGTGTAAGCATCCATATATGTGTGGCTTAATTGGATGGAGACAGGTGAAGGAAACGAAGCCCACAGTGCCTGTTACCCCAAATACGTTACCTCAAGCCCACTGACGAAATTTATTCCCCACCTACCCTTCCACCTAGCGACTCGTCTTCTCCTCCACTCCATCACCGTGGCCTACCTCTCCTGCCGCGCCGCCGCTCTGCTTCTCCCGCGCCTCCTCGCCTCCCACACCGCCGCGCCTCCTTCTCCTCTCCTCCCAAGCAGCAGCAGCAGGAGATGGGGCGGTCTACGGCGGTCGGCGGCGGCGGCTTCCGCGGCGCGGTCTTTGGCGGCACGGTCTGCGGCATTCTTGGCAACGACTCACCATCGTGTGGGCGGCTGGCGGTTCTTGGCAGCGCGCGGCGAAGACTCGGCGGAGGCGGACTCGAGCAGCTGCTCCATCCACGGCCGCCGCTCTGCTTCTTCTCCCTCGCCGCGCCTCCTTCCCCTCCCTCTCTGTCTGCCGCCCCTCCCCTCTCCCTTTCCCACTCCGTCGCGGCGATGGTGAAGGGCCATGGTTTGGTTGCGTTGCAAATCCATCCATTCACTCCCTTGCGCCGTCATGGTCTTCATCGCCACCACCACAGCGGCACTGGCACCGGCGTCATGGCGCGGCCGCCGCCCGCGTCACACTCAACGCCATCGGAGAGACGCTTTGCCACAGCTGAATGTACACAGAAAAAACATAATATTCTCTCTCTCTCTTTGTTTTTTGATCTATTTGTGTTCTTCGATTTGTTTGCATGGTTCTGATTTGATTTTGATTTTGATTTGTATTTGTGTTGAAGCAACTGGAAGTGTTCTAGGCCCCTCCCCGGCAGCCACCGGCTCGTCGTCGGCACCCCGACCCAGCCTCCCGCGCCAAGCCCGCCGCCCCCAGGAGGGCGGTTCGGGGATTTCACCAGGCGAAATCGATGTGAGGGCAGAGCTCGGCCAGGAACGATGCCCACAGTGCACGCGCCTTGCTTTTTCGGCGCCGCGCGCTTCCTCGCTTCGACGAAGTTTCGCGCTCCTTAGCTTAGGGACAAGTCGCCAAGTGAGGTCCCAGGCGCATGCTCCACGTAGACCAAAAGCTGAGCTGGCGCGACGAGGTTACGCGCCAACTCAGTGAGGCCTCAGAGGTTGGTGCACTGCACTACTGTATTTCCTATTCATCTAGTAGAACACTAGGTAGACCTGGGACTTGGGCTGTACTTTATCGGGCCGGCCCAAGTCACGTCGGCCCACACGGTATAAAAATCCTGGCCCGTTTTGGCACTAAGCACGATGGGCCCAAGTCCCACATCAACTAGGCACAATTTCCATCTCTGCAGGGCCCAATGGACCAACTATAAGGCTGTAGCTAATTCAACCAAGTAAAAAAAAAGCTCTTTCTTTTAAGACAAGACTATTCGGAAAGCAATGATTATTTTCGAAATCAAGCTCTCTCACGAAATTTCTGGCAGTGTACGGCAAATCAGGTCGAAAACTAAATCTCTGCGGACTAAAAGGAACATATGATTAATTAAATGTCAGCTGTAGCAATTTTAAAAAATAGATTAATATGTATTTTAAAAATAAACTTTACTATAATTTTGTTTTAAAAATGTGGACACAAGAGTTGGAACACAAATTTTGACAATTTGACTCTTTCCAAAAACTAATTTTACAAATGAATCGTGGCCAAAACTTATTTTAAAAATGACACTTTTTGTTTAGCGTCAAATCGTATGTCGCTAAACTTAGACACCTCAGTGCTACGTCAATTGGCGCAGAATATCGTGTCACCGCGGACGAGAGACTGAGTCGGCGTGCCAACGTGCATTCAGCGTCGTTCTATTTGGCGTTGAGGTGTCTAATTTCAGCGCCATACGATTTGACGCTGAACAAAAGCGTCATTTTTTAAATAAGTTTGGGCACGATTTATTTGTAAAATTAGTTTTCGAAAAGGGTTAAATTGTCAAAAATTTGTGGAAGTTGGAAAGGCGGAGGAAAGGACACAGCCGAAAGTTTCTGAAAAAAAAAAAAAACTATGAGCAACAGTAGGGGAGTTGTTGAGTAGTGCGATGCGATGCGGTGGGAGGTGGCAGGCGGCGACCGGCGAGATCGATGGGTTCTTCGTCTTCCACCTCCCTCGTCTCCCTCCTCCTCCCCTGCCTCCTCTCCTTGCTCCTCATCCGCCTCTCCACCCACCTCAACCCTGACCCGACCGCCGCCGCGCCCCGCTTCAAGAGGACCCCTCCCTTCCCCCTCCGCTTCCGCCATGACGGCGCCTTCAAGATCCTCCAGGTCCGTCCGTCGCTTCAAGCTCACCTCCACTCGCTAGCTAGCTAGCTCAGCGAGCTTCGCCTGATGGCCTTCGAGATTTACCTCTGGTTGCTCACCGGGCGCGGCTTCTGTTCTGTGCGTGTGTTTGCTATGCTATAGGTGGCGGACATGCACTTCGGCAACGGCGCCGCCACGCGGTGCCGGGACGTGGCGCCGGAGGTGGGCGGCGCGCGCTGCTCCGACCTCAACACCACGCGGTTCCTGCGGCGGGTCATCGAGGCCGAGAGGCCCGACCTCATCGCCTTCACCGGTGCGTTTTTCCCCCTCCTATCCCCGCTCCGCTCTTGGTGGCGATCTGCTTCGCGCTTGCTCATCTGGTCGCTGCCCATTAGTGGCGGTCCTTGCTAATCATGTGCAAAACTTAGTGCTATTGATATGTGATTGGTTGATTTTTTTTTTCACTCTCAAAGTCATGGAACTAGTACTAAATGTGAGTGTTAATTTACAAGCAACATAACAGTTACTCACAACAAAAACAAATTAGTTAATGCTCCATGTAGTAGTAGCTTAGTAGAGTTAGCTGGCAGAATGTCTGAATAATTGTGTTTACATTCAGAGGGGTTGGGTGGAATATCTCGCCAAATCACTTGTTGTTTGCCTATGTTCGCAATTGTGGAGAAGTATCTCCGGCAATCCACTCGTGTATTTTCACGACCCAAATGAAATTACTTAGCAACTAGCAAAGTTCTGTGAATCCATGCTTTGGGTTTTCTGCTGTTACTGAATTAGTGGCAGAGTAGAATCACATGCAGTTTCCAAAAAAGTTTGACTACATCTCTTCTTCTGGGGGTAAAGAGGTTACCTTTTTGAATCTCTACGTTACGTGTTTTTTTAAATTTCCTTCACCAACAAAAAGGGGGTCAATCTGGTTTGCATTGAATGCTTGTGTTGTTTTTAATCAGGAGACAATATATTTGGGGGCAGTGCATCTGATGCAGCTGAGTCACTACTCAAAGCAATTAGCCCTGCAATCGAGTATAAAGTACCATGGGCTGCCATTTTAGGAAATCATGACCAGGAGTCCACTATGACCAGAGAGGAACTGATGGTGTTCATGTCCCTGATGGATTACTCGGTATCTCAAGTAAACCCTCCTGGTTCTTTGGTACATGGGTTTGGCAACTATCATGTCAGCATACATGGGCCGTTTGGTTCTGAGTTTGTCAATACTAGTTTACTTAACCTTTACTTCCTGGATAGTGGTGATCGTGAAGTGGTCAATGGAGTAAAAACCTATGGATGGATCAAAGAATCTCAACTTGCTTGGCTTCGTGCTACCTCACAGGAGCTTCAGGTACCGCTGATGATAATTACTAGCATAATCACAGCACCCAAGATTTTATTGGAATATATCTCCGTCATTGTGAAAGGGGGAAAATGCCTTTGTTCATTACTTCTGTGTTTCTTCTTTTACAAACTTATGATGTACATGTAAATCTGCATTGAGCTGCATTCTCTGGTCAAATATTTTATCATTTGCCTGAGCAAAACACACACCCATTAGTTAATCTCAGATTATTGGTTTTCATATATCAGTGTTTTTTTTCGAATTACAAATACAGTACTTTTGAATCTATGCTTCTGAGTTCTGACTCACGGTACTTTTGACAGCAAAACTTGCATGCTCCTGCATTTGCATTCTTTCACATCCCAATTCCAGAAGTCAGAGGGCTGTGGTATACAGGTTTCAAGGGCCAGTATCAGGAAGGGGTGGCTTGCTCAACTGTAAACTCCGGTGTTCTTGGCACCCTAACCTCCATGGGAGATGTGAAAGCTGTCTTTCTTGGCCATGACCATCTTAATGATTTTTGTGGCGACCTTAATGGGATATGGTTCTGTTATGGTGGTGGCTTTGGTTATCATGCCTATGGAAGACCTCATTGGCCAAGAAGAGCTCGGGTAATTCATACTGAACTCAAGAAAGGGCAGAAATCATTGGTGGAAGTCGAGTCGATCCACACCTGGAAGCTGTTAGATGATGAAAAACTAACTAAAATTGATGAGCAGGTTCTTTGGAGACACAGCAGCATATGATTATGACCACTATGTATAATGTATGTGCATCTGTGAACACAACATGTTGTAACATTCTGCATGTAGTACAACCCCTTCATTCTTGTAGGCGAGTAGATTGATTATTGGCAACTGATTTTGCCATGCACATGTTTCACATTTGGTGATATTGTATGATGTTCGATTTTTGTTGTATACCACAAAGCTAATGACGTATCGGCCCATGAGTTCTACCAAATGGCCACTTTTTTCTCCCATTTTCATGAAGTTGTATATGAATAAACCTTGTGTTTTACTATATTCATCCCTGAAAATGTGTATATATTTCGTCGTTTATTCAGTGAGCTCACAGATACCTACACCCCTCTTGTTATAAATATTTGACTACCAATACTTTCTTAAATATTTACTAGTTAAGTAGAAGGAAAAAGAATGTTTTGCATAGATTTGTCTAGAGAAGTGTTGTCATGATATACTAGATTTTATAAACTCACTCTAATACAAAATTGATGGTCATATTTGAGAAAAAACGTATTGATGGCCATAGTTTTAAATTTTGATAAATTCTTATCCTAAGCGTACAATATTTATGACTAGTAGATAGTATTTATTTTCAACATCGTGAATTTGAATACATTCGCTTTGGGTCATTTTTGAGATAGTTGAAATAATGATTGATGGACTAGCTTTATAGTTAGTCATTTGTGAGTATGAACGAATGAATTAACTAGTACAATGTTGAAAAATTATATTAAAAAAAGTATTCTAACATACTTTTCTCATAACTTTTTATATGAAAGTGAAACACACTGTTTAGGAGCTTGTGAAATGTGCAAATGAAAATTCTGAAATCAGAAAAGAACAGGCAGCCTTGCCAACTCAGAAAATCTCGAATTGTTCCTGGCTTGTGGTATCCAAGTTCACTGCAGCTTTGCCAACTCAGCCCGGAACACGTCGACGTGTTCGTCCGTCACGCACCACGCCACCGCGTTCACGCCGTCGCTGCCGTTCGACCTCGAGCACGGTAGGCATGGCAAGCAGGACGGCATCACCGTCACCTCCATGCGGGGTATCACCCTGGCTGGCTTCCCGCCGCCGAAGTCGATACCGTCGAGGCCGAGGCCCGCCCAGCTCGACACGTACAGGCGGTGCATCGGGCCGACGAAGAGCCCCTCGCCGCCGCCGCCGTCGACGCCCTGCTTCCCTCTCAGCTTGTTCCGGAGGAGTTCCTCCGGTATCCGCTCCTTGGCGTCGTTGACGAGCTTCACCACGTCGACGATGTCGCCGTACGCCACCGCGTCCGCCGTGGACGCCACCACCTGCCGCGTGATGCAGTTGCCGTAGTACCCGTCCTTGGCTCCGATGTGCGGCCGTGCGTTGACCGCGAACAAGAGCACCGCGGGAGCGTCACTGCGGCAGCGGCGGCCGTGGATCGCGCGGGTGCGGCACTGCCATATCGCGGCGGTGACCACGTCGAACACGGAGCAGCGCCGCCGGCCGCCGCCGCCACCGTTCCGGCTCACGAACTCGGCCTTGACACGGTTGACGAAGCTCCATGGGATCATAATGTCGCAGTAGGCGAAGTCGACGTGCTTCTAGTCGGCAAGCGGCGCCTTCAGTGCGACGGGAGCCAGCTGGTCGGGGATTTCAGGCATGGACTCATCGTACCTGACCAGGCCAGGGTTCACTTTATCGGTTAGGCCGATCGTGTCGGAGGTTACTGAAATCCCGAAATTTCGAAAATTTATTGAACAACATTTAGTTGAATTTAAATAAATATGACAAAAAATTATAAAAAAATAAAAAAATCGACTGAAGTAATATCGTATCGGAGGGGAATGTTCCAACCCTGTACCTGACCGGAATGACGGACGGCGACGGGAGCCCACAGGCGAGCTCGCCGACGGCTCGCAGAAACTGCGCCAACCCGTAGGTGTCAGCCACGCCATGGTTCCATGTCACCCCGACGACGAACCCGCCGCACTCAAACTCGGTCACCTGCATCATCAACAGCGGATCGGACATCCAGCATGACTCCCCACCATACCAGATAGCAAGGTCGGCCAACGGCAAGTCGCCGTCGCCGTCGTCGACGTCCTCCAGCGTGCAGCTCGCCGTCGCCGCGACGAACGGCAGGCCCCCGCCCTCGCCGGTGCACGACAACACGACGTTGTCGTCGTCGCCGGCGGCGACGACGTGGCCGGCTAAGGGGTAGTAGTGAACGAGAGCACGTGACAGTGCCCGTCGTACGGTCTCGGCCGGGCGGTGGACACGACTCCGCCGCCGCCGCCGCTCGAAGACGAGGAACGCCGTGAATGACAGTCCGAGGCGGGACTTGTCGGCGGAGGTGAGGCGGATGGTCGCCGCCGCCGGTGTCGGCTCCGACGACGGGGTGACGAGCACCGGTGGCCCGGACTTGGATACCACAATGTCCTTCATCTTCTAGGCTGGGAACGTTGGGTTATTTCACTAGATATAAGAGTGGAATAATGCCCACGGCCATGTTATGTTACCTCTCGCGTCGCCGCCGGCCGCGGCCACGGCCAGGGCATGTTGCCTCTTCCCTGAGTTTCTACTCCATCTCCATCGGTTTCCTCCACTATCAAACCAGACAAGACTGCGTGGGGAGTGGATTCTAATCCCTCGAGGGTATCCTCTTATATTTTTTTTCCCTTCCAAATTCGATGCAAATAGTTGTGAAAAAAATCTGAAAAAAATGTCAATGGAGAGTATAATGATACCTACTAGTCCACCAAAATTCATGTTCAAATTCAATCTACACATCGAGAAAAAAAAGGACAAATTTAGATATAAACAATACGCTACTATTCATACGTTGAATTTGTCTTTTTTATATCTCAACGTGTAAATTGAGTTTCGACTTAAAATTTTATGGAGTTGTATATATGTGTTGTATGAATGTTGTCAAATTTTTTTAGAATTTTTCATAACCGTTTAGATGATTTTTAAGCAAACGAGGGAATATCCCCTCGAGAGATTAGAATAGTTCCCCGGCTGTGTGTGCTCACGATGTAAAAGAAAAGAAAAAAAAAAGACTTGATCTGTTCCACACCGGGTGGTCTGGGTGGCATCTATGATGCGGTCCAGAGAAAAATGTATGCTTGTCAATGATTCCAGAATCCGATTAAAAAGGAAGCAAAATATCTATAAGTCGTTTTTGCTCCTTTTTTTTAATAAAAAATCATAGTACAATTTCAGATTTACGACACCTAAGGGCTAAGAGCTAAGTTTAATAGTATAGCCAACTACTAGTTCCAATTCATTTATAACTAATCTAATAGGTAATAGCTCATTCATACAATAGTTACATACTACACTATTAATACATGGTCCCACCTATCATACACACACTGTGTCTTGGAGTCCGTGCTACAGCTGGCTACAAATTTGTAGCCCGCTGCTCTCCTCTCTCCTCATTTATCTCCTTAAAAAATGTTTACAGCTGACTTATAGCCTGCTATTGTACCTGCTCTAAGTAATATGGGCATCCAAGCACAAGCCACAAGATGAAACATAGGACTAAATAATGAGGTGGAGGAGAGAAGAAAGATGAGAGAGAAATAGTCACCTCTTATGCAAGAGGCAACCCCTACACAAACTTCAATATACATGTGAGAGTGTTAGAGATATTAGGGATTGTGTGCATTTAATTATTTATGTCATGCATAAAATTGGATGTGGTAGTCACCTCTATCTACGACACATGAAGCTTCATGTGCTGCAACTGACGAGTGGGGCCCTACAGCTGACTCCGCCCTATCCTTCTCTAATCGCGAACTGGATATATACACCCCTCGCTGTTGCGTGCAGTAGAAGTAGATGGTAATAAACTCGATCAGTGTTATATATGTTACGTGGCATGTAGCTCTTAGGCTGACAACCCTTGGTTGAGCAAAGAGGTGTTATTATGGGCTGGTTTGGTTTGTGGCCTGAATTGGCTTTGCCAATATTTAACAATTTCAATAGTGTTTAGTGTCTATTTAGTTTGAAGCCAAATTTTGACATGTCTAAAGAAATAGGCTATTTTAATAGTGAAATTGGGTTGTTTTGGCTTCAATCCGAACACAACTTTACCTTGCCAAGATTAACCATACCAAAACTTAGCAAAATTTGATATTGACAAAAATTGGTAAGTTCAATTTAAGTCACAAAACAAACCAGCTCTATGTTATAAATAGCACTCAAATCAAATAACACAGCGTACATTCTACTAGTCTTCTCTCTCGCATTCCCCTCGGTCTTGCCTGGCATAGACAGGCAACCGCCGGCCGTCCACGCGACTATGATCTCGCCGAACACCGCCAACACGGTCCTCGGCGTCCTAGGTGCGTCATCGCCTCATCGGCATCTTAATTTTAGCTTTCTTCAAATCCCGCGTTTCATTAACTTTGTGTTGATCTTTTTCCTCGATCGATCTCATCTTGCAGGTAATGTAGTGGCCCTCGTTCGGTACTTGTCCCCAGTGTAAGAATCAAAATTCATGTGTGTATATAAATATTCGATTCATTTCACTTCAACCTATGTACATGATCGTGCAGGCTGGCGTGCAACCGCACAACATGCCCATCATCATTAGCGCCCCTGGCATGGTAACTCAGCTCGCCTACATCTCCCTCTTTCTCGCCACGTCTGTTGCCGCCTCATCCTCCTCCTCGTCGACATTGTTGCCTTCGTCGGTGTACTCGTTGCGCTCGTCCTCTCCCTCTCCCACACCCACAAAATCCGTGCCATGATAATTGGGATCATCATCATCCTTATTGGCACAGGCATGTACACATCCCCACTTACCGTCATGGTAAGTAAACTTCACTTATGGCCGAATATAACACAATGGTTTAAGTCACACGAATGCACCATGCCACCGTGTCCACGCCGTTCGACAGAACGGAATCACCGTCACCTCCATTGTAGGGATCACCCTCACTAGCCCCTCGTAGTCGAGGCCGAGGCCGCCCCAGCTCAACACGTAAAGGCAGTGCATCGCGCCGACGAGGAGCTCTCGCCTCCACCAGGGAGGAATGCAGGAAGCAAAATGAGTGGGGCCGATAGTCTACTCCTAGTTAGAATAAGTAAATAAAAATATGATAGGGGGGCATTTGCCCCCCGTGCTATCTAGAATTGAGTAGGGGCCAAGGCCCCCCATTGAGTATACTCTAGGTCCGTCCTTGGCCTCCGCCCTACGCCCGTGGCCGCCATCTCTACTTGTTATAAATTTTATATGGTTTGGTACGGCTTGCCACGGTTACCGCGTGGTAACCGTGCTTACCACTGGGGTGCGGTAACCCTGGCCCGACGGTTTGAGAAACCCTACCTACCTCC